AGGCTCTAAAAGTCCTTGACCCAGCAGGTTTGAGGGGAGGAGGCTGACCATATCTCCCTAGGTACATAAAGAGGGGGTAGGCTTAAGACTACAGTGAACACCACCAGCCTTCTTCCTACCCAGGTACCCAGACTGCCTTCCTAAGCCAGATGAACAAGCCTGGGGCCAGCAGAGGGGTCTTGATCCATTTAAGCCCAAGGATATCTGATTACCTTTACCTCTGCCCCGTTGTGCCCCACCTTCAGTCAGTATTACAGAACTCATTGAATGTTCACGGGCATCTGCGATTAACAGCAGACGGTGAAAGGGAGGGGAAACTGAGGAAGCATCTGACATTAGAGGGAGAACTGGGAAACCACCGTGGAGAAAGGACTGCTAGTGCTTCAGGGCGCCCATACCCAGGGCGCAGGGCACAATGGGAGGGGCATGTGGAAGGGAAGGAAACTAAGAGTTTCCTTGGAAGGTATAATCACAACGGTGAGAAATGTATGGTGGCTGGGAGAGGGAGTAGAAAGAGCAGAAAGGGGGGGACCCACACTTACCCCAATTCCAGAGCTCAGAAAGGATGCAATGGTGCAGGGAGGAAGGGGCAGTGACCTAGAGGTGAGAAGAGTGTGGTAACAGACGAGGCTGAAGAGAAGGAGCCTGTGAAACTGTCATGTCAGGAAATCTGCAGGGAAGGGGCAGGGTTATGTTAGGGGGGTTAGCAGTGGTAACGGGAAAGGAGGCAAAGGCTCCAGGCACAGGGAGCGGGTGGCCCAGAACAAGGGGCAGGGAGAGCAAAGCTGCTGGGAAGGCCCAAGCAGGTGCGCCTAGAGAGAGGTGTGCGGAGGGCATGAGGTCTCATCTGTCCCTGGGAAGGGAGCAGGATGGGACTGCGATAACGGAGTGGAGGGCGGCCGGTGGCTGTGGCTGGAAGAGGGGACGTGATGGTGGCAGGTGTGAGGGGAGCCGGAGAGTGTGATGAGAGCAGGCACAGCCCAGGTCTAGGAGTGGAAAGCAGAGGCCAGCTGCCCCGCCGGGCCAGGGAGCAAGGTGAGCAAGACCGAGCCCTCCAGAGGTGACCTCCGATCCAGAGGACACGATGTGGTGGGGACATGGACCAGGGGGCTGGAGCATCTGAGCAGGTCTGCTAAGTCCCTGTCCCTGGAACCCGACAGGGCGGCAGATGCCCTTCTAAAGGCAGTGGCAGCCAGCAGTGTCGCTGAGAAGGCTGTGGAGGCAGCTCGAATGGCCAAACTGATAGCCCAGGACCTGCAACCCATGTTAGAGGCCCCAGGTGAGGCGTGGGCAGCCTGGGGAGCTGGAGGGGCTCAGGTGTGGGGAAAGGGAAGGAAGTCCCTGCAGAGGACTGGGGATGGAAAAAGCCAAGGTATGAGGGTCCAAGGGGACAAGGATGGGGGCCAGACCCAGATGTTTGGGGAGCGGAACTGGGAATTTATAAAATAGGGTAATAAGGACTAGGGGTCTGGGGTCTGGGGTCTGGCTATGAGAGGCTGTAAGCCTGGGAGGTGCTCAGACAGGGGGATAAAGCTCTAGCCTTTGCTGCCCAAGGCCAGTTAGGCCCCTCTGATTCTTAGCTATCCCTGCCACAGGCCGCAGACCCAGGCAGGACTCAGAAGGTTCCGACACAGAACCCTTGGATGAGGACAGCCCTGGGGTATACGAGAATGGACTCACCCCCTCAGAGGGCTCCCCTGAACTGCCCAGCAGTCCTGCCTCCTCCCGCCAACCCTGGCGACCCCCTGCCCGCCGGAGCCCACTGCCTCCTGGAGGGGACCGAGGTCCCTTCTCCAGCCCCAAAGCTTGGCCTGAGGAGTGGGGGGGCCCCGGTGAACAGGCAGAGGAACTAGCTGGCTATGAGGCCGAGGACGAGGCTGGGATGCAGGGGCCAGGGCCCAGAGACGGTTCCCCACTCCTCGGAGGCTGCAGCGACAGCTCCGGAAGTCTTCGAGAGGAGGAAGGGGAAGACGAAGAGCCCTTGCCCCAGCTGAGAACCCCAGGGGGCTTGGAGCCTGAGCCCATGGCCACACCGGTCCTGAGGGACCCAGCCTCAAGGGGTCCTGAGGCCGGGTGCCTGACAGAAGAGCTTGAGGAGCCTGCTGCAACCGAGAGGCCCGCCCAGCCGGTGAGCTGCCCTCTGTCCCTGCTTTGTGGCCCCTTTTCTCCCCAAAACCTTGCCTCTCATCCTTTCCAGACCTCTCTCTGATTCCTTCAGGGGCTCTGATTTGGACTCAGCTTCCTTCCTGCCTGCCCACTCTTGGACTATATCCCACCTAAAAAAAAAAAAAAATAGGGAACTTATGAGCTGCAAGCAACTTTAGAGACCTTCACCTCCAGCTCCCTCATTTGACAGATGGGGGAACTGAGGCCCAGAGCCCTTAAAGTAATTTGCCCAAGGTTACCAATAAGGAATGGTAGAGCCAAAACATCTTTCCCTGTTCTCCTTCCATATCATTTCCAGCTCCTGGTTTCCTACTCCACCCCCACCCCCACCTCCACACTTTCTCTCTTTGGTGCTCAGAAATAAAAAAGGAAAAGCTTGTTCCCTCCCTACCCTGACTCTCCCTCCCTCTCCTGGGAAGAAGGGAAATGGGAAAGGAGGCAGAAAACTGGGAGGGGTGGAGTTTTCCCAGAAGCCTCTACTCTGATTGGACTCCAGGCCTTCTCCTGTTTCCTAGCAACCACATCCTCACCCCTTCATCCCTCTGTGCTTTACTGCAGTACGGACTGCTGCTGCCAACGTCTGCTACTAAGGCCAGGCACCTTCTGCCTGGGCCACGTGACATGCTAGTGGGCGGGGAGCGGAGGGAGGGGGAGGAAGGGCTGTTCCCGACTTGAGGGAGCCAGAGGGAAGGAGGGGCCCTGCCTGGCAGGAGGGAGGTGTTTTTTTGCAATCCAAAAAAGGTTGGAGATGCCCCTGCTCTGACCTCTGGGGAGAGGTGCCTGGGACCCTTTAGCTTTGCCACCTCTGCCAGGGCAGGAAGGTGGGACCTGTCGCTGGACATGGTCCTCAGGGACTGAGACTGCCTTTCCCCCCCATCTCTTTAGGGAGCTGCCAACCCCCTGGTGGTGGGAGCCGTGGCCCTCCTGGACCTCAGCCTGGCGTTCCTGTTCTCCCAGCTCCTCACCTGAGGCTCCTGCCCAGCCTAGTTCTGGCTTCGGTTGCTGCCTCTTCACTTCTTTGACCTGCCTTTTTCTCTTTCCCTCCTCCTGGTTGTTTTTTCTCCTATCTTTCTTTCTCTCCTTCCTTCTGTTTCTTTTCTGTCCCCCTTTGGTTTTGTCTTTTGCTTTTTCTTTCCAGCTCTCCTTTCAGATTCTCTCATTTATTCTGGATCTGTCTCTGTCTTCCTCACTCCCTCCCCCACCCCACCTCTCTCTCTAGATTGTTTACATATGAAGGGCTTTTCTCGCTCAGAGTCGCTCTCTTCTCTGAGACACACAAATCTAAGTCAGACCATTGCCCCGTGTCTTCCCCGCCTTTTCTTTAGACCTGAACTTCGATGAGGGTGGGGGTTTGGTGTCCTGAGGAGTCTCCTGGAAGCTGAGTGGAAAGGAAGAAGAAAATGGAGAAGGGATGACTGTATACTGGGCAAGGCACTGGCTGAGCTGCTGTGACTCCCTGACCCAAGGGGCCTGGTGTCTCTGCGAGGCCTAGTGAAAGAGCTGGAGGAGGTACGGCCTCCATCTCTGACTGTGGAGGAGCCTATTTCACCTCCAAGCACTGAGCTAGGTTCTTGCCTAACTCCATCCTTCCCTGAAGGAGACAAGGGAGATGAAAAGTAGAATGACTCCCTAGGATCTCCCTCTTCCTTTCCTCAACAGCCAGCCCCTCGCCCAACCCCCTAGGGTGGCATGCCTTGTCAAGAGCAATGTGTAAAGGAAAGAAACCGTCCAATGCAGTCACGTCTACCCACTGACCTCTCCCACCCTCCTCTCTCCCCCTAAAAGTTTATTTGGTTGGTCTGGACTCACTTGTGGCCTTTGATTAGATTTCTAAGGGGCCTGAAGAAGACATTTCTACTGCAGAGGGTTAGAGGCACTTAAGCTAGGACCCTACTCCCCAACTCTGGCAGTTGTGGCGTGGGGGTGGGGGGGAGGCATTTCTGGGGAACACAACCAGCCTAGATAACAGGAACTCACAGAGCAGCAGAAGCTGTGACAAGTTTAGTAGTCTCTAAGTGGGTTATATCCCTTCCCCCGTCACATCAGAATCTTGTGAAATGGGAAAACAACAGAAAGAGGGATCAAAGGAAGCCAATCTCTCACACACTTTCCAGGCAGGGCAGAGGTGGGAGTCAAAGCAGGGTGAGAGGTGGGTGGAGAGCCCTGTTTGAGGTTGTGGCTGATCCCTGTTAATAGCTTTCCCCTGGGGGCAGGAAGCCCTAGGAAGAGGGGGACCCCTCTGTAGAGTCCCCAGGGGATCTTTCCTCCCTCCCCTGCATGAGGCAGACGCAAGCTGCCTGCCAACCCCCTCCCTCAAGGAATGGCCTTGCCTGGGAATGCCCACCACACGTACCCTCTTCTTTTTTTCTAGTCAAACTCTGTTTACTCCTTGGCCTGCCTCCCTCCCTCCCCTCTAAACCTTTACTTCTGATTTCTATTTCATGGAATTTGGGATTGAAGTTAAACTACAACAGTGCCGCCAACACCAAGTCTTGCAGGAAAAAAAATACAAAGAAATTTAACAAAAAAATATATTAATAAAAAAGTTCAAAAAAGGGGGGGGACTGTCATCTCCTTTGGGGTGCGATGGTTTCAAATCCAAGCTCTCTTGAGGCTCCCTGGGGGGTGAGAATGTACAAAGAGGCCTCTTGCGGAACCCCAGGCCTGTTACGCAGTCTTGCCGCCAGGACAGCTCCTTGCCCTCAACTCCAGAGCCTGAGGCCTGAGCTCAGAGGGTTCTAGACAGCTCAGTTGGGCGGCCCAGGGGGGGCGGGGTCCCGTGACGGGGGCGGGAAGAGGGAAGGACCAGACGAAGGACCAACCCCCGTCGGGCCCGGTACCAGGAAGCGCTGGGGGGAAGAGGAGCGGAGTTGAAACAAGCCAGGTGAGGCTGTCGTTAAGGCTGGCGTCCTGGTGTGAAGCTGAGTCCGCCTGAGGTGTGACCTTGGGGAGGAATCCCGCGGAAGAGGTAGCGCAGGACCCAGGGAGGAAAGCAATGGCCGAGCTAGGGATGGGCAACCAGGTGGGACCGGAGGATGGGGTGGGGTGGGGTGGGGGGGATAGGCGGGGTTCTGGCGCATGCTCCGTCGAAATGGGCGCGGAGTGGGGTGGGGACGCATGCGTAGTGGGGATCTCCTCCCACGGTGAGGAGGGGGCGGAATTTGGTAAACCCACGTGGGCAAAGGGAAATGTGGGCTCGGTTTTAGGAGAGCTGCAGGACCTGGGCGTTCAGGATCGTGGTACAGAGCGAGTCTGGGCTGGACGGCCAGGTACTCCCGGCCCGAGAGGTTCAAAGCCCTCTCCATTTCCGGGCTCTGCCCCCTCAGGATGGTGGTGCCTTCGCTGAAGCTTCAAGATCTAATCGAGGAAATTCGTGGGGCCAAGACCCAGGCCCAGGAGCGGGAGGTGATCCAGAAGGAGTGCGCCCACATCCGCGCCTCCTTCCGCGATGGGGACCCTCTGCACAGGCACCGCCAGCTGGCCAAACTGCTCTACGTCCACATGTTGGGCTACCCCGCCCACTTTGGACAGGTACTGGGCAGGGGTGCCTCCCTTCTGAGTTTGATGAGGAGGGCTAATGGGGCACGGTCTTGGGACACCTTCACCTGCTTGTGCCCTGATTTTTTTATTCTCCAAAGTTTCTGAGCCCTTCCTCACAGCATGCACTGCCGACCTCCTTCCCCATTACAACCCCTGTAGGTCATAAGCTGGACTGAACCCTTCATTCTCCGGCCAGCCCCATTCAAGCCACCTCCTTTTCTCTCCCACCTCCTCGACTCCTGGTTCCTTCAAACTACCCACTAACTTTGAATTTCCTAAGCCTTTTCCTTTGTTGAAGGGAGGATGATGGGAAATGGTGTTACCATAAATTAATCTGGTGGTAAAGAAGATAGAAAAGGGCTGTTAGTGCCTCGAGTTTCACCCCTGCCCCTTCCTGGTCTGCCCCCTTCCCTGTAGATGGAGTGCCTGAAACTGATCGCCTCCCCCAGATTCACAGACAAGAGGGTGGGCTACCTGGGGGCCATGCTTCTACTGGATGAGAGGCAGGATGCCCACCTGCTCATTACCAACAGCATCAAGAAGTGAGAGGGTTCTGGGAAGCACTTGGAATCAGGGAGATGGGAGAGTGGGGAACTGGGAAGTCCCAGGGGGCTGCCTGTTGTAGGTACTGGGAAGGATGGATTTCTCAGAGCTTGACTGACCACCCTCCCAACTCTGCAGTGACCTGAGCCAGGGGATTCAGGCAGTACAAGGCCTGGCCCTGTGCACTCTGAGCACTGTGGGCTCTGCTGAGATGTGCCGGGACCTGGCCACTGAGGTGGAGAAACTGCTCCTGCAGCCCAGCTCCTATGTGCGCAAGAAGGTGAGATGGCAGGACTCTAGGCACTTGCCCCTCCCCCCCCCGAAACCGTCCTGTTTGCCACGTGTTAAAGGTGGGAGGTCCATCCTGGGAGACCCCTGCCCCTTTTTGAGCCCCCTGATCTCTGCAGGCTGTTCTGACTGCAGTGCACATGATCCGGAAGGTCCCCGAGCTCTCCAACATTTTCCTCCCACCCTGTGCCCAACTGCTTCATGAACGCCACCACGGTAAGGCCACGGGCCTCCCCATCCCCTGCCTTACCTCTGGCTATGGACAGAAGTGAAAAATAGGATGGGAACACCAGCCGCTAGGAGCAGGGTAGCATGTGCACATGAACACACACACGCAGTAGACTCTCCTGTGCCCCTGGCCCACCATTCACTGCCCTCCCCCCCCCCCCGACACCAGGCATCCTGCTGGGCACCATCACGCTGATCATGGAGCTCTGTGAACGAAGCCCTGCAGCTCTCAAGCACTTTCGAAAGGTGGGCTGGTGAAAGGGGCAGGCCCTGGGCCAGGAAAAGAGGGGCCGTGGGGTTTGTAATGGGTCTGAAGGTTGAGAGGATTAGGAATAATGCCCAGTAAGGCTGTGCCCTCCCTCCAGGTGGTTCCCCAGCTGGTGCAGATCCTCCGGACTCTGGTGACGACGGGATACTCTGTAGAACACAGTGTATCTGGAGTCAGCGACCCCTTTCTGCAGGTGGGCTGACCCTGTCCTGCTGTATCCCTGGAAAAAAGAGCTTAGCAGTAAGCCCATGGCTAGCGGCCACCTCCCGGAGAACACTTTGGGTCAGTGAGTGGCAGGCAGGAGGGTGGCAGGCACAGGACCGCACGGGTCATCCCGAGACCAGTGCGGGAAGCGGGGGATACCTAAAGGTCAGAAATCCAGTTTGGTAACAACAACAACAAAAAGCCTGTCTCCAAATCCCCTGGCCTCACATGCCTCTGATCTCCCAGGACCCCAGGGACCTGTGTGGGGGGAAGGGGAGGGAAACTCTAGGAAACCAGCCAGGCCCCTCGCAATACTTTCTTTGGTGCAGGATTTTTCTCTTCAACCCAACTCCTTACCCTTTGAACCCCTCCACCTTTCAATTTTTAACCCATCTCAGGTCCAGATACTTCGTCTGCTTCGGATTCTGGGCCAGAACCATGAAGAAAGCAGTGAGACCATGAATGACTTGCTGGCCCAGGTGGGAGGCTGGAGAGTGGGCACTGGTTAGGTGTGTGGCTCTGAGATCCTACCAGCCCCAGGCACCCCTCACCTGACCACCCACCCCATGGTGGCCGTATAATCACGTCTCCGTTTCCCTCTAGACTGCGATCTCCATGAGGACAGGGACACAGTCTGTCTCAGTGTGGTGGCCCCTGGCACATCGTGGGGGCTTGGGGAACTTTGTTAGACGATGAAGGGATGATGTGGTGGGTACCTTCCAGAGACCTGAGGAGAGGACCGAGCCCCTTCTAGTTGCATCTTCTCCCCCATCCACTCAGGTGGCCACCAACACAGACACCAGCCGAAATGCGGGCAACGCAGTCCTGTTTGAGACTGTGCTGACCATCATGGACATCCGCGCTGCAGCCGGCCTGCGGGTATCATCCCATATGCCCCTCCCACTGCGGCCCCACCCACCAACCCCAGCCAGGCAGACAGGTCCTGTGCACTGCTTTCTCCTCCCCACCCATCATCCAGTGCCCTGCAGCCGGCCTCCTTAATGAGCGCGTCGCTCCTTCCCGGACTGTCCTCAGCCTTTGCCTCCCGCAGGTTCTGGCTGTCAACATTCTCGGCCGCTTTCTGCTCAACAATGACAGGAACATTAGGTAATCATCCCAGGTGTCTGGCTGGGCTGTGCCACTGAGCCCCTGGTCCCTGGCCCTCCTCCTTGCAGCGTCTCTTGATTTACCTGCCTCTTATTCCAGGACTAGGGCAGGATGGGGCAGGGAGGGGGCTGAGGCCCACGGCGTGATAGGCCCTCCCCCGCTCTGGCCAGGTACGTAGCCCTGACGTCATTGCTGCGTATGGTGCAGTCCGATCACAGCGCTGTGCAGCGGCACCGGCCCACTGTGGTGGAGTGTCTGCGGGAACCCGACGCCTCCCTGAGCCGGTGAGGAGGACAGAGGAACAAGAAGGCAGGCAGGGGGCCCAGTGCCTGGTAGCCAAGACCTGGACCGGGTCAGAGCAGCTGAAGTGGAGGGACTAGGAAACAGGTGCCTGGAGAAGGAAGGGCCTGAGGCCTAGCTCAGGGTGACCCGGCCACCGTGTATTGACGACATCTTTCTCCTGCCAGGCGGGCCCTGGAACTGAGTCTGGCTCTGGTGAATAGCTCCAATGTGCGAGCCATGACACAAGAGCTGCAGAGCTTTCTGGAATCCTGCCCCCCTGATCTACGGGCCGACTGTGCCTCAGGCATCCTGCTGGCAGCAGAGAGGTGAGGTGACAGGTGCCCAGAAGGCAGAGACGGTAGACTCTGGGGAGGGTCCGTACCAGGGCTGAAGAGGCATATGTCCCCTAGGTTTGCCCCAACCAAGCGGTGGCACATAGACACCATCCTGCGTGTGCTGACAACGGTGAGGCAGGGACTGATGTAAGAGAGCTGGGAGGGAGTGGGCAAGGTTCACCACCCTGAACCCTTGGCCACATTCACCCCCTCCAGGCAGGCACCCATGTACGGGATGATGCGGTGGCCAACCTGACCCAGCTGATTGGGGGTGCTCAGGAGCTACACGCCTACTCTGTGCGCCGTCTCTACAGCGCCCTGGCAGACGACATCTCCCAAGTACTGTTCCCCCCACCAGACCCAGGGCTGCCTGAGCCTCCCAGCCCTTCCTGGGCCACCTACTCCCCATACCTGATGCCCCACTGTTTTTCCCTGGAGGTCACAGCTACCCGTTTAATGGAGACACTCAAGGACAGAGCCCTGGTTTTAGTTAGAACACCTGGACTTCTGTCCTGGCTCTAGTACCTACTGGCTCTGTAACCACAGATGACTAATTTAAGTCTCCTTACGCCCAGTGTACTCAGCTCTCTACCCTGCCTGCCTCCCACAGCTGTCTTGACGATCAAATTGAGATAGAGCTCTTTCTGTGTGTATCAGGTTTTTACTACCTTGAATGTTGAGTGGATTAACAGCAGCCAGCCACTATCTATCTACCGTCTTTTTTCCATATTAAGTAGGGTGGGCAGAAACCACGTACCCCTTCCTCAAGGCAGGGACCCTCTTGCTTGGTTCTCACTGAGCTCCTTTTGGTGGGGCCATGTAGTTCTGACGCTTGGCCACCAGAGGGCAGAAGACAACCAGGAGCCAGGACAGAGCTGGCAGGGGTGGGGGGACGGACAAACTTACAAAACTGTGCAAGAGCCTTCCCTTTCCCCACCTCTCCAAACCCCACAAGCTCTGCACTGCACAAAGGGATGTCACAGGGCGTGGAAGTGGGGAGGGGACCCAGAACCTAGCCTGGCATCTTTCTTGTCCCACACAGCAACCGCTGGTGCAAGTGGCAGCCTGGTGCATTGGAGAATACGGGGACCTCCTGCTGGAGGGGGGCTGTGAGGAAACTGAGCCCCTTCAGGTGAGACCAACCTCGGGAGTACACTGAGGAGGGCCTCAGCGGGAGAGGCAAGATGCCCCACGGTTACTATCTATGTCCCCGCAAAGGTGGAGGAAGAGAAGGTGTTGGCACTCCTCGAAAAGGTGCTGCAGTCCCATATGTCCCTACCGGCCACACGAGGATATGCCCTGACAGCCCTCATGAAGCTCAGCACCAGGCTCCGTGGGGACAACAAGTAAGAAAGGGTCCCGGCCCCTCTTCTTGGTGCCTCCAGTGACAGATGTCCCTTCACCGTGCCCACCAGTTTCGGAGTTTCTCTCCGTGCACACACCCCAAGTCCCCCAGTCCTTAGGTTCTTCCTCCTGAGCCAGGTGTTGTGGGTACCCCCCTGCTCTGTGCGGCCTTTCCCTTCCGTGCCACATCCTGGAGTTGAAGGGCAGGGCAGGCTGCCCTCCCGCTCACACGCCACCCTGTGGCCCAGCCGCATCCGCCAGGTGGTGTCCATTTATGGGAGCTGCCTGGACGTGGAGCTGCAGCAGCGGGCCGTGGAGTACAACACGCTCTTCCGGAAGTACGACCACATGAGGTGCGACCGTCACTGTGCCGCAGTGGAGGACCCAAACCCCTGCCCTGTCCCCATGTGGCCTCTCCCCAGTGCCCCTTTCTGGGTACAGGGGTCTCATCCTCCCCTTCGTCCTTCCTCCTCCACAGTCAGAGCCTCCCACCCATAGTTGACTGTAGCCAAGGTGGCTCCCAGCCCTCCTCGCTCACCGAAAACCAGCAACAGCGTGCCGGGCTTAGGAAATCAGAAGGGCCCTCCGACCCATCGTGTGCAGGGTTCTGCACGGTCTTAGCCATCCTCCCACATGCTTCTTATGAAAAGCCCGGGGTCCACCCAGAGGGACACACCTGTATTCCATCCTCTCAGGGCTGCCATCCTAGAAAAGATGCCTCTCGTGGAGCGAGGTGGCACTCAGGATGAGGAAGCAAAGGAAAGCAAAGAGGCCCAGCTTTCGGAAGCAGCCCTTGTTGCCACAGAGCCGCAGGTGAGGAGGCCGGAAGCCCCCGAGGGAAGAGGACTTGGTCTGGCTTCCGCACCTAGCCCTGCTCCTTCTGCCCTTTCCCCCAGGCCTCCAAGCTCTTGGATCTGTTAGATCTCCTGGATGGCACTTCTGGGGCTGCCCAGCCCCCACCTGCTCCGGAACCCTCCCCAGGAGGCACTTTAGTACACCTCCTCGACCTGCCCTGTGCGTCTCCAGCCCCAGGTAAGCCTCAACAAAGGGGAGACAGGAGACGTCTTAAGAAAAGGAGGGGTGGAAATGTGCTGCTTCTCCTTCTTTGCCAAGGACTGGGGGCCACATGCCCTCTTCCGTGCTGTGAGCCCCCCATCACATCCCCATCTTGATAAAAGGGTTCATTAGCTTGTGCCAGTTCCCTCCTGGATACCCCTCAATGCCTTCCCTTTGTTCCAGACTTCGTATCCTGGCCTGTGAGGCCCAGCTTCCTCCCAGCCCATCTCCTATACTTTCCCTCTCCCTGCTCCACTGGCCCCTCTCAGCTCCTCAGACCGTCTCACCTGAAACGCTTGGTAATCTGTGCTCCTTTTGCATGGAATGTCTGTTCTTTTTTTTTTTTTTTTTAGATTTTATTTATTTGAGGGACACAAAGAACATGAGCGGGGTGAGGGGCAGAGTGAGAAGCAGACTTCCCCACTGAGCAGGGAGCCCAATGCGGGGCTCAAACCCAGGACCCTGGGATCATGACCTGAGCCAAAGGCAGATGCTTAACCAGTTGAGCCACCCAGGCGCCCCTACATGGAATGTTCTTGCCTAGCACATCAGATGACTGGCTCATTTTCATTCTTCAGGCCTCAGCTAAAATGCCAGATACCTTCCCCTACCATTCCTATTTAAGTTATTCCTCATAGCACCAAGTAGTCTGTGATTATCTTGGTTGTTTTCTTGTTTATTGTTTTTCTCTGCCCATTAAACTATAAGCTCAGAATAGGGACTTCATCTTCTTGTCCACTTTGTCGCTAGCATCTCAAGCACTGCCCTGCACCCAGTGAGCGCTCACTTAATTTCTGTTGAATGAATGAATGAACTTGTTATCTTCCCCATACATTGAGCTGCTTCTCTCTCCATACTCCAGCTTCCATCCCAAATCTCAGAGTGTTTGAGCGTGAAGGACTGCAGCTGAATCTGTCTTTTGTTCGCCCCCCTGGAACCCCTGCTTTGCTCTTAATCACGGTCACTGCTATCAACACCTCAGGGGCTGATGTCACCCACTTTGTCTGTCAGGCTGCCGTGCCCAAGGTTTGTAGAAGACCAGGGTTTGAGGTGGCCTGGGCACTCCAGGAGAAAGGCTAATAGAGGAGGTGGGTGGAAGAATGAGACGGGAAGGGAATGACGTGCAGAGATAAGCACTTGGGGTGTTATGGGAAGAGGCTTTGAAACTGTTGGGTGTGGAGGGGTTGCCTGAGCCCAGCTCGTTGCCTTACTGTGCTCTGCCCAACCTCTTGTGTTCAGAGTTTCCAGCTGCAGCTACAGGCCCCCAGTGGGGACACAGTTCCAGCTCAGGGTGGCCTTCCAGTGACCCAGCTCCTCAGAATCCTCAATCCTAACAAGGTGAGCTCAGGAGCACCCGCCCCCACCCCACCCCCTGTTGATAAGGCCCAGTGACAGAAATCACAGGAGCTAACCCTGGTCTCCACTCTCGAATTCCTAGGCCCCCTTGAGGCTAAAGCTGCGCCTCACCTACAACCACTTTGGCCAGTCGGTGCAGGAGATCTTTGAAGTGAACAACTTGCCCGTGGAGACGTGGCAGTAACTCAGCCTCCACTCAGTCTGAAATCCTCCTGTATCCCAAACTCCCCAGGGTCTCGGCCACTTGGAGCCTGCACCTGATGACTACCAGCAGGTGGCGCTCTGGTCCTGCGTTTGCCTCTGCAAAACCGGGGGGGGGGAGCGGGGGGGGCGCCCTTCCACCCCCCACAAATAATGAAAGCCCAATAAAGCCTGAGGGGGGAAAGCCATATTTGGGTATATTTGAGATAGAAAACGTTTACAAATCATAGCAAGGGAAGGTTTGTTGTCTGTTTTTTTTTAAGATTTCATTGTTTATTTGAGAGAACGAAAGCAAGAGAGATCACAGAGGGAGAGGGAGAAGCAGACACTCCACTGAGCAGGGAGCCCGACGCGGGGCTCGATCCCAGGACCCTGGGATCATGACCCGAGCCAAAGACAGACACCTAACCAACTGAGCCACTCCGGCGCCCCAGGAAGTCTTCTTATCTTCCTTGAAACAAGCCTTAGGAACTTGTTTCAGCAAAGAAAGGCTCTTTTTACCCTCTCCAGGTTCGGGAGATTTGCCCCTAAACCTCCACAGGAGGCACTCTACCATCTGGGCCAGACTAGGGCACAGTAGCAAAGTGAAACCAGAACTTCCAGATGTCTAAAAGGGATTCCCACCCACTTCCCCAACCTGCTGCTATTCCCCACACCCCAAGGCAGGGAAGTCCCTGCTGCCTCCCCTCATCTCTAACTCAGCTGTCAGGCGGTTTAGGAGGCGCTGGCAGAATCAATGGCATCGACCAAGGGAGGGGGGGTGGCAAGGGATTTTCCTGTGCTTAACTACTGATCACGGCTAAGTGGAAATCCTATAAACACGAGCGGAAATCAATGGAGGCTGCTTAGCGGCCAGGGGAGAGGGGCGGCCCACAGATTGCATCTGACGGATGAGGGAGGGGGCAGCCAGGGAGGGCTCAAGGAAGGATAGCTGAGGGTAAGGTGAAAGAACAGGCAGAGCTGGAGAGAGAGGAGTCACTGTGGGAAGGAGGCCAGGGGAAGAGGCACAGTATGCTCAGGAAAGAATCCCGTTAGACCCAGAGTTCTCTTCGCTGTTGAGGAAGTGACACCCTAGCCCAAGCTGCTGTCAGGAGCTTTAGTCCCTTGTGGCCTCTCTCTGGGGCTGTATACTTCTAGCAGGTGCTGGTAGTCCTGAGGCCGGAAGCACTGTAAGTACATCATCACCTTGGCAGGTGCTCGCTCCTGAGCCGGCACACCTGCAGGCCAGAGGAGAAATGAGAGAAGCAGACAGAGCTGTAAATGCTTTGACTCGGCTCCCTGCCCTCATAGCCAACCCCAAAGTTGTTTCCAGGGCAGCACTGGGATTCTGAATGCCATCCAACCAGTTTCTGTAACCCACCAGCGCACACCCTGACTGCCCTGTGCCAGCGGGGCCTACAAGGGCCACGTCGGGTAGGAGTGAGGCTGGGAAGCCAAGCATGAGCCTCTCCTCCAGCAAGGAGAAATGGTGAAGAGTCGCTCAGGTGCCATGTAGACAGAGGGGGCCTCTATATCCACTCTTTTCGGTTAGTGCTCCTGTCCCCCAGTCAAGATTAAAGCCCATGGAGGCAGGCCAAAGCTCATTAGGTTGGTAATGAAGCACATGCAGAGATGCACACAGAGAACAGGGATAGAGAAAGGAGAGAAGCAGCAACAACCATGGGGTGGGATTCACATAGAATTCTAGCCTCTATATGGTATGGAGCCGTGATAAGTCAGGGTCTTACTGTTAGAGCCTGGCAGCATGCTGGGCGGAGAGCAGGAAACTCAACTCAGTGTATGTTTGCTGAGAAAGCAAGAGCAGCATTCCACCACTTTAAGGCCTCATGGGACGCACAACCCCATACTTCTGTGGATGAACTGTCTACAGAAAAATCTGCCACGACTTGTCCTGTTGTCTGTCACATAAATACAGTGTTCCTGCCTTTTACTCAAAACCAACAGGGCAAAATTAAATGAGGACCTAGGTAGTTGTAAAAATAAGAGGACAGGATTGGGGGAAGGAGGGATGGATGGAAGGATTCAAGCAGAGAACGGACGCAAACTTGGAGCGGCTGGAGGTATGAGAACTAAATGAGGCAAGGACTAGGGAAGACAAGGAAGGATCCGATCCAGTTAGGCAGCTTCTGTAAAAGCAAACTGGGCCCTCCAAAAAATTGCCAAGACAATCCCCGTTACAGGAATAATGCCGAGACCCTCCCCTCTAGCTGGTTCAGTGGGTACATCCAGAAGAGCGGTAGGGAAGGCAAGGAAAGCACAGAAGGGCCTGTCTTCCTCACCGAGCATGCTGCTGAGCCTGTGGATCTTCTCTAGGGCAGCTGGGACCTCAGCCTTCTCGTACACCAGGGCTTCTATCTCACCCACAGTGTAGCCAAAGTCGGCTGTATCCAGGTCCACCCTGAGCGGAGTCTCCTCTTCATCAGCTCCAGATAGCACCAGCTTCCAGGCTCTACGCCTAGTCACAAAACCAACTACTTCCTGCAGCTCCAGTGGGCCCAGCACAACAGCCACACATCCAGCCCCCTGGACGTCAGCCCCCAGCACCTCACAGAGCTTGGCCACAATTGCAGGCTCAACTGTGAGTTCCACATACTCAGTGTGAGGTCCTGAGACCACTGCCGCTCCCGGATATTTGAGCTCCCATCCACTACCCTCTCGCTGTCGCAGCCAGTGGTCCGCCCGCATGAGGCTCAGCTCAGGGGTGTCATAGTAGCTGTCCCGGAAGGTGACCTGGTGCTCCAGGGTGCCCCCCAACTCCTGCAGCCGCTCCTCTGTGTCAGGGCCAGGAATGAATTTTCGCTCCACCTCAGTCAAGGCCTGGGCCATGCTACCTGCAATCACTAAATCAATAAACATCTGCTGAGCTCCCAAGGGTGCTCAGCCTTGCAGGGTGACAATTCGGCAAACCGCCCCCCACCCCGCAAGAATTTGTGAGGCACACGCTGTCACCGAGCTCTGTGTTGGGGCTACAGCTCTTTCTCCCTGCCTCAGTGATGGATGGCCCCCGTCTGGCTCCGGTATCTTAAGGTTCTGCAACCGTGACAGATCTCCAGGTAATCCCTTACACCCTTGCTGATGTCCTCAATTCAAAGGGCTCCCTGGAAAACTGTAGTGGGGGTCCTCCTTTCCACACTCGCCCTCTATACCAACTACCCCAGGTGTCCAGTGGCTCACTTCGCGCAACGACCCCGCCCTTCGCCACAGCACCGGCCCGGCCCGCGGAGCCTCGGGTCTCACCTCAAAGCCCGAGGGTTTTCCGTTCGCGGGACCTGGAGATGGGCGATGGGAGCCTACGCCACGCCCGCGAGGAATGCCGGGAGCAGTCCCTGGCCTTGGACCTCGGCCCGGATCTCTGCGCACCTGCCCGGTGCCAGCACGAGCGGCCATATTAGGCCCGATGTGGCGGTGCCGAGGACAGGCCAGGGTCCCAGAGGCCCGCTACGTGTTGGGGGTCCGCGACCTCCGCGGTGGGCCGGGAGCGCAGAAGTCCCCCTGCGCTCTGCTCCTCCTGCCCGACCCCTGCCGGCTCCCAGGGGTCGGCCCGGGTCTCAGGCCTCAGGCTGAGCCCGGCACCCTGGGGCCCGGGTGCATGATGGGAGGTGTAGTTCCAAAGGGAGATTTTGCTTTCTCGCCCCACCCGTCGCTATGGTGACAGGAAAGCTGCGGTTACTGCCCGCGGGACTCAACCTAAAGTTGAGCAGGGGCGGCACGGACAGCCTGATGCAAGAAGCCGAACCCCAGTCAGGTCTCCAGCCCCTTCACTTCCTAGGCAAATAGGCCTGAAATCCAAGCCACTTACTCAGACGCTGTCCAAGAGAGATTTTATTGGCTATTATGGCGGCCCACAAAATACAAGCGAGTGGTAATGGGCTGCAAAGGGGGATAACTAAGACCAGTTTAACTACTCAGGAGTTTTAGGGGGGATAAATACATCCTGCCATGAGTGTTTAGGGTAAGGTTGAAAACTTTCAGAGAAGGAACAGTGTTTTGGATAGGAACAAAAGACACGACAGGATTTCAACAGAGACCCAGATGGAGACAGGAACAGCATGAGCAAAGACCAAGAAGCTGGAGAGCACCTGGCCAGTGTATAAGGAGATGAGGCTAGAAATACAGTTGAAGGGCAGGGTGGAAATGGCCTTGAGTGCCAGTCTGAGGAATTTTCACTGAGTTGCCAGTGGCCCCTGCGCAGCCTTTGTCTGGAGTGGGAGAAACTCTCATGTTTGCTTAAAATACAGGAAGATGTGGGGGTGGCCCTTTGACTGCTTTGGGAGATAAAATAAAGAAGAGCTCCTTCTCCTTACTCTCTCTGAGGGCTATGATTACCTGGAGACTGTGTGTCTGACCCTCTGGGTGAGGTAGCTTGCTGAGGAACAGTGGCTCTTTTCAACTCCTATGATGGGTGAGAAGTGCCAGGTTCTTAACATCTGTCATCTTCCCAGTATGTTTCTGGAAACAAATGACCTGTGGGAAATACTGTGGAGAGGACACTGATTTATAGACATAGCACCTTGAACTTGGGATGTCTTGGATGCATCTCTCTTCCACTCCATAACAGGTACCAGTAGTCAGGGAGGGGAGGGCCACCAGCCCCTAGCTCCAATCACTGGCCTACTTTTCATCCATCCTTCGATTTTCAGTTTTCTTCCCTGGGGAAAAAGACCTCTTCCCCTGAATTATAAGGTCCTCTTCCCTGAGTTATAAGGTACAGTTCAGTGGGGCAGAGGGCAGACTCAGGAACCAGACAGACCTGGGGTTGACTACCAGCTTTGATTTCCAGGTGTTTGGTCTTGGGCAGGCTACTTCACCTCCCCAAACTTTTCATCTCTCCTTGGTAAGATGTGGACTGTCACAGTTATGGGTGGGGATTCAGTGATAAATGGTCACATCATAAAGCCTCAAAATGTTAGTTTCTTTCTCCTTCCTTTTTTCCTATAAACTCCAAGGTTTGTTTTTTTTTCTCTCCTTTCTTACTTTCCTTCCGTCTTTCTTTCTTTCTTTTACTTTTAAGAGAAGTAGGCTACAGCAGCTATTGTGAGCTCTGGAGTCAGACCATCGAGGTTTGAAACCTGGCACTGTCACTTACTGGCCATGTGACTTTGGGCCACGTAACTTCTTTGTGGCCTGGTTTCCTCAACTGTAAAATGGGACTAGTTGTGAGGATTAAGCAAGTTAATGTACATAAAAGTGCTTGCTTGGAACTGTTCTGTGCACTCAATAGATCTCTAC